AATATGGATGGAAAATATTTTCCTTGGATCTATTCATATTTTCACAAAGCAAAGCCCAACGGCTTGAGAGCTTTGTGGTATGCAGGAGTTCATTTCTGCTAGAATTGTGTCCAAGTGGTTATGATTCGATTGGTAGGGTATTCCATAATAACACGAGTCGCGGTGACCAAAAATACTCAATATTTTTCTGGGATTTGCACTGTTGAATTGAGTCTGACCCAGTCTCTAACTAATGGTGCATTGGGTTCCATAGGTGTGTCTGGTAATAGGAAGCGACTGAATGCATTGAAAGGCCCTTCCACCACCCACTCCTCCTATTAATTCGGTATAAACCAGAATATCGGATGATCAAATTCAACCTTTGAAAACCAATGCGGTAATAAATGAATAGCTCCAGAATCCGGTTACAGCCTACCTGTAGCACCGACTCCTCCTTTGAGGACCATCCAACTGACAACGGTCCCATAGCTGTAGAGAAGGGGACGTTTAGAGACAGCTGAGAGAGCCAAATTGCTCGTGGAGTTTTAACAGGTGTACCATACGGGAACGGCGCAGGCATCCCACATCATCAACAAACGCGCGCGCCTGTGGGCGGCCGTCGAGAGTCACGTGTTCCCTTTTTTCCCTTACCATTTGTATTGGTCTATCTGCTTTCACCTAGCTAGGCGAACACAGACCTGTGGAGGTGGTGGATAGGGCCCTTCTCCAGTACCCCAAGCATACGCGGGACCTCTTCTGACTGCACAGCGCACAGACAGCATCTCGCTCGCCCAAGTCAAATCGAGGCAAAAAATACCACGTGATCTATCGCTTCGAGACTGCTGGATCTCCGAAGCCACTCGCTCTGCTCCGTGGCATGCGCACGCCCATACTAAAAGTCGCCAGCGAGCAATCGCTGCAGTGTCAGTTCCAGCGTTGTCCAGTCATGTGCTGACTTATGCGACCACTAGTGACTATATTCTACTGCTACTTGCCTTGGCTGTGAGTTGAGGTAGTGTATATTGAGTGTTCCATATATCCGACAAGCCAAGCATTGCTATACCAGCCTAAGTCTACGCCGCGCGTCTCGCGCCTCCTAAGTAAAAGCCTTGCTCTATCAAAGCCTGGCTCATCATAGCGAGTCAACACAGTTGTGAGGAATGTACCATAGATAGTATTCATTACGCTACTAGCTAGGGGTAGTAGACGACTGTAAGCTCTATTGTCCAATGAATCTTACGGGCACTAAGTAACGTTGGGGTGTCGTCTGCACAGCTCCAGCAACTAATGCTGACTAAACGTGCCACAGAAGCCAGCGCGAAAGTGTAGTAATCACTGTCATTTCTCAAAATCCAGTGAGTGCCTCAGTGTACATTCTTCACTCAAACCACTGCTCGTACTGTACTCATGTCCAGTAGTCGTATTATACGAATGTACCGGTTGTACTAGTCAGCATAATGGCGTTCCGTCAGCACTTATCATGGATAGTTGTGCCTCTATTACCTCCACCTCCATCAGAAACAAATTGTGGAACTCTCCTCTCTGGCATAATTGTGGTTGCAGTTCTGTAGCTTGCACTGCTTCAGAGTGTAAGCCAGGTATAGCGTCACTATGATAATATATTGTGTGTAAGTACTTGTATGTGATATATTCATTTGCAGATACGCTACTCTGAGTGCAGTGTCACTAAGCTTTTTGTGCGATTGCACTGCATCACTCCACATACTTCAGTGATGCACTCTGACTTTGTGTCCACGTGCCAATCCAGTACGGGTTTCAGTGTAAGTGTGGTGTCTGCTCTCATGGTGGCCGTCACTGGAAACTTTCAACTGAGGTGCAGGTTGTACGTGTCCGTGACTCGGTTTGTTTGATGACTGTGAGTGTGCTGACGGTGATGCGTACCTGTACAGGCGATGCGAGAGTGTCTCGGTACCCCAGATCCATGAGAGCCAGGCGCTCGAGGAGGAGGATCAAGATTGCTCTTTGGGGAGAAAAAAGATAGTGTATGAGGATAGAGCTGGCTCTAGAAAGTAGGGGTCTTCCTGAGATCTACAACACGTATCATTCTGACAAACCAGCCTGGCTGTCAGGTGATTTGTCAGCAGTGCTGTAACGGCATATACACTAAGTTTTTAATTCCAGGTGACTTTGCAGCTTCAGCTGGTAGTAGAAGTCGTTGACTTTGATATAATCTTGATGACCACATGAGGACTGGTGTCAGGAGTCCTCACACCACGTTTAGAGTTCTATGTGAATCAGATGGACGACAGAAACACTCCTGATGGGAGGAAGGATCATCTCTGAGCATGAGGTTCAGAGTCTGGTGTCAGTGGCGAGCAGTACGAGGGTCCCACTGTGACGGTCTCCCTCACAACGATGACGTCAGTGACATTGGTCACTACAGGCTGGCGGAAGACGAGGGATCTCCTGTCTCCCTGGACTATACCAACACCTCCAACCTCTGCAGACAGGCAGGCTGTCGTGTATTGAAAATTGTGCTGTTTTCCTCGTCCGGCTATCAGTTCACGCTGATGAAAGATAAGCACCGTGGCATGGTCTGTACCTGACCTTACAACTGAATGTTATCCCACCACAGTATTGGTACACAGGAAACTGAGTCCTGTTTGCTTAAATTTATTGTGATGTGACTGAGATGCGGGCCTAACAGTCCGTGTCACTGAAACTGTTGTCATGCACAGACTACCGCGTAGGTGAGGTGTGTCCCTCCGATGATGAAACATGTGTCAGCAACCCCACCTCCTACACCTGTGAGCACACCACCAACTTCCATGCTACTCCCCACTTCTCCCTACCAACTTCCCCTACCACTTCCCCACACATCACTGTCTCCAGAGATAACTGCAGCTGCAACTGGCATGAAATGCCTGTGTAAGTGACAGTAACACTCTACTCTGGAGATGGAGATCACTGAGAATTGTTTTTGGAATATAGCCCTTGAAGGAAAGGGAAGTGGGGAGGAAATGTGTAATTGGCGTTTTGTTTAATAGTCATTCACGAGTGTAAAATGAAAGTCACAAGGGGAAATTGTTACACAGGAGGAGAAGATGGTGGCGACAGGTGTGTGGGTCCGGAAGGATGAGAATCTGCTCAATATCCAGGGACCCTCTGCTCCTCGTCAACAGAGTGGAGAGACTGGTCCAGCATGCCTCTGCTGTCATTGGTGCATAGTAGCGGTCTCCTGGTGGCACTCTGCTCTGTGCAGTGTGGTGATGAGCATAGCTGTCGTTGTCTGTGATATAATGAGAAAGAGGAGGTAGTCGAAATTGTAAGTGCAGGTACCACTGTATACGATACATAATTATTACGTTCCAACTGAACACTAAGAGTTATATTAACAGTGAACGCAGTATGATTAGTTGAAGCATACCTCAATTGTTACATGGAAGTAAGCAAGACAGGGATTTTCCGTAATTTCTCCTTGACACTACTAGTGGCCACCAAGACCAATGGCAGAGGAAGACGTGGGCCCTCCCACTACCAGTCCATCCATCGTCTGCTGGCGGCAGACAACGTGTTTAGCTGATGTGGGCAGCAATCCCACGTACGAAGATCACCGCGTTGCTGCTGAGCGAAGTGGAGGAGAATGGATCACACGATGATAGGACACTCTCCGGGACATGCCGTAATCCCTTTCTCAGACTACGGCTGCATAATAACTCAAACATTGAAACCCTCTGTATAGAGATCACGCGAACCAACCTCAACATGGGAGATCAATATCTACAAGGTTCCCGTGATCCTCCGCAACTAGTACCTCTACTTCCAGCCAGGAGAGGAGGAGAAGGAGATGGTGGACGTACAAGGGTCCCTAGGTCGCCTGCTGTGGAGGCAGTGTGTACTCGTATGCCACAGTGGGTGCTGCGTGTGAAGGTCGGTGGTAGTGACACTCGACTGATGCCGTGTCATTGATGGAAACAGCATATGAACACGACAGGTCGGAACAGTCTGATCGACAAGGCTTCACTATGGGTTTTTCACACAACCTTGCCTGCCCACTCATCGTTTCATGCTGCTGCTGCTGACGACTATGTAGGCATATAGTCAATATAGCTTACCTTGGGAGCCACTTTGGTTCAAAGCTCCGTCGGGTGTTCTTTAGAAAGTCGCCCCAAACATGGTCAAATACCAGTAGTACACCAATTCTGTTAAAATGTGGCACTGTACTCTAGTTCTCTCACAATAGAATTATTGTATGGTTGCAGCAAAGAACCACCACCGCATGTGACTCCTGTCCATGTTTCTGTGGCAGCTCCATCACAGAATGTGGAGGCTCGTACAATCACCTCTGGACCACGGACGCTCAGCAACAGAGACCAGCCAGATGCTCTCTGAGGCCTACGACACTCTCAACCACGACCGACAGCTAGACTTCCAGGACCATTCCACCATAATGACTTAGTCTCATATGTTGCACACAGCCCGAACACTCTCCGATCCTTCATGCCCCTCTAGTCTATGTTTGTGAACTCATTCTTATGTCTGTGCATCAAGTTTGATACAATCATGCTCAACCTTGTCTACGGTCATCCACGGGGGTCATTGTCTATTCCCGCGCTTATAGCAATATCGTGGCGAAACCTGGGAACAAGTCTTACAAACCTACAGATAAAACCCCGACGGTTCTTTCTCATAGGCACTTAGCTACAAGTTGTACCACGGCCATTCCTCCTCACAAACAAAATGCCTGAATCTGAACAAGTCGGCATCAGCTTGGTAGCCGTATGACCAACCCAAATTCTTATAGACTGCATGTATTGATATTCATGGGAGACAACTTCAGTCTATGTAGCTAGAGTTTCACACTGTGACCAGAAGCAGTTCCGACCATGACCAACACACAATGGTAATCCTTAATTCACACCAAACCCGACTTAGTGGCTCGATGATGTAAGGGGTATCTGCAAGGTACGTGTGTGCAGAGCTCTCGCCGCGCGCGCTCATAGAGCTCTAGATGCGGAGTCTGCAGTGCGCATGCGCAAGGTCGCGCCGAGACGAGACTAGACGACGATCAGCGAACATGAGAGCTTCTATAGCTGCCGGTCTTGTCACTGCAATGCTTCAATCTGTAAGTGTGCATGAATACAATAGCTAGCTGTAGCGATGATCAGTTTTGAGTGGGAAACATCCTTGTTTTTTCCAGGTACCTGCGTCTGGAAACTTTCAACTGGAGGTGCAGGTTGTACGTGTCCGTGACTCTGTTAATGACTGTGGAAGGTGGCCTGAGGTGTGTCACCTGTACATCGATAAGATGTGTCTGGATCCCCAGTTTGAAGAGCCAGGCTCCGAGGAGGAGGATCAAGATTGCTCTTTGATAGAGTATGAGGATAATCTGGATCTGAAGTATGGGCTTCCTGAGACTAGAACACTATCTGTGACAAACCAGCCTTGGCCTGTAAGTTGTCAGCAGCTGCTTTTAACTGTATTGCACTAAGTTTTTAATTCCAGGTTGACTTTCAGCTGTATATAGAAGTCGTTGACTTTGATATAATCCCCCCTGACAATCACATTGAGGACGTGGTTGTTCAGGAGTCCCTCAACACCAGTTCAGAGTTCAGTGAAGAGATGGACTACAGAAACACTCCTGGTGGGAGGATCACTCTGAGCATGAGGTTCAGAGTCCAGTGCAATGAAGGGTACGAGGGTCCCCACTGTGACTGTATCCCTCACAACGATGACGTCAGTGGTCACTACAGCTGTTGGGAAGACGGAGGGATCTCCTGTCTCCCTGGATATACCAATACCTCCAACCTCTGCAGACAAGGCAAGTGTGAAAAATGTGGCCTGTTTTCCCCCGGCTATCAGTTCATGCTGAAAGATAAGCACAGTGCATGATGTACCTGACCTCACAACTTGAAGTTATCCCAACAGTATTGGTACACAGGAAACTGAGCCTGGTTGCTTAAATTATTGTGATGTGACTGAGATGCTGCCTAAACAGTCCGTTTCACTGAAACCTTTTATCATGCACAGACTACTGCGTAGGTGAGGTGTGTCTCTCCGATGAAACATGTGTCAGCAACCCCACCTCTTACACCTGTGAGCTGCCACCAACTTCCCCCACCATCACTGTCTCCAGAGATAACTGCAACTGTGCAAATGGCACGAAATGCATTGTGAGTTCACATTAAACACTTGATATTAAACACTCTTACTCTAGACACTCACTGAGAATTTGTTTTTGGAATCTAGCCCTTTGAAAGGAAAGGGAAGTGGGGAGGAAATGTGTAATAGGTGTTTCAAGAGTGTAAAATGAAAGTCACAGGGGGAAATTGTTACCACAGGAGGAAGATGGTGGCTACAGGTGTGTGTGTCCGGAAGGAGAGAACTGCTCAACCCCAGGACCCTCTACAGCTGCTCCTCGTCAACAGAGTGGAGAGACTTCGTCCAGCATGCCTCCTGCTGTCATTGGTGCAATAGTAGACTTGGTGAGTACATCTTCCCGTCGTGGGCTGTCTTGACCCACGCGTCGCCATTGGAGGCTCGGACTATCTCATACGGCACCGTTTTCCTGAAGATTTAGAGAGGTAGGGAAAGAGAGGGGAGAGGAGGGAGGTGGGTGCTACTGCTGGTGGTTTTTTGGAAACTCACGCTTCTTTCTTGACTTCCTCGTCGTCAAACCTTCGCCCTATGAGCCTCTTGGTAGCATACACTGTGTTCTTTGGATTAGTTACCGTCTATGGGAGTAGCGAGGATCAAAAGGCACAGAGAGAGATGTGAGAAGGGAGTGAGAGAGTGAGACAGAGTGTATTGTAGGGTTGCTACTATTACTGGTTGTTTTCAGTTTACAGTATTCTTCTCAAACATATCATTTTACTATCCCCACGAGGGGCAGACGGAGAGAAAGAGAAGGGCAGACGGATAGAAATGGAAGGGGGGGAGAGGGGGGACATGTGATGTTGAAAGGACAAAGAATCGCTCGAGCCTTGAGTAAAAACTGTGACTTGGTCTAACCTGTCTCTTGGCGAGAATGCCACAGAGCCGCTCGCCGTCCTTTGTGAAGGCCACAACCGACGGAGTGGTTCGAGATCCCTCTGAGTTCTCGATGACCCTCGGGTTCTTCCCGTCCATGACCGCCACACAGGAGTTGGTGGTGCCGAGGTCGATCCCCACCACCGCCCCCTTCACGTCTGAACTGCATCCATTACATTGAGGTATGGAAAGTACAGTGGGCATGTAGCATCCAAAATTTAGAAGGAAAAAAATCTATTCAATTTTATCACAAAGCAAAGCCAAACAGCTTTGAGCGTTGAATGTGAGTGTAATGCAGTCTCTAACTAATGGTGTATTGGGTTCTATTCATACACACTATATACCAGTCTGTATGGTATACAGTGTTATGACTGAATGATGTTGAAAGGCCTTCACCACCCACTCCAACTATTACCTATCTGGATGATGCAACTTCAATGGCCAAAAAATGCGGTAATAAATGAATAGCTCAGAGGATCCGGTTACAGTCTTACCTGTAGCACCGACTCCATCTTGGAGCACCATCCACTGACAACGGTTCCCATAGCTGTAGAGAATGAGGACGTTAGAGACAGCGAGAGACCAAATTGCTCGTGGAGTTTTAACAGGTGACCATATGGAAACGGCGCATGCATCCCACAATCAACAAACGCGCGCGGTCGGTGGGCATGGGGTGGGCGGCCTTCGAGAGCACGTGGGTTGCCTTGCACCAGTATTGGCTATGCCTTCTTTCAGCTAGCTAGGCGAAACACAAACCTTGGATAGGTGGTGGATAGGGCCCTTCTCCCTAGTCCCCAGCATACGCCAGGGACCTCTTCTGACTGCACAGCGCACAGACAGCATCTCAAGCAAAAATACCACGTGGTGGACCGCTTCGAGCTAGCTAAATCTTTCCTAAGCCACGCCTCCTCCGCGGGGCATGCGCGCGCATAAAAAGTCGCCAGCGAAATCGCTGCAGCAGTTCAGCAGCGTTCCAGTTCGGTGCTGCTTACGTGACACAGTGACAATTTCTTACTGCTATTCCCTTGGCTGTGAGTTGAGTGTATTATTGAGTGTTTCATCTATCCGCCAAGCATTCTATATGGTATTATTGAGTGTTCCATATATCCGCCAAGCATTCTATGTATATAACGACCTAAGGTCTCGCGTTTCGCGCCTGGTCAAAAGCCTTAGCTACTAAACCCTGGCTGATATAGCGAGGCCACAGTTTGTGATGAATTTACCATAGATAGTAGTCTATTCTACTATCTATGGGTAGAGCACCGTAAGCTCTATTATCCATGAATTTACGAGCAGTAACATTGGGGTGTCTGCAACGCTCCAGCAAATGCTGGACTAAAACGTGCCCACAGAAGCCAGCGCGAAGTGTAACACTGTCATTCCTCAAAAATCCAGTGATTGCCCCGTGACATTCTTCACTCAACCACTGCCTCGTACTTACACAGTCAGTAGTAGTATCTATAATAATTATACCGGTGTATGTAGTACCAGTCATAATTGGCGTCCACACTTATATGGATGTTTGTGCCTATAACCCTCACCTCTCACAGAAAACATGGGAACTCTCTGGCATAATGTGGTTGCAGTTCTGGTAGCTGCACTGCTTCAGAGTGTAAGCCAATAGCTAACTAATACTAATGATATTGTGTGTAAGTACATGTATGTTTTATATTCCCTATTCCCAAAAAGCTACTCTGAGTGATTCACTAAGCTTTTTGTGGGATTGCAATTTGCATTACTGAAAAACTCATGATGCACATTTGACTTTGTGTCCACTGACAATCCAGTAAGGGTTTCATTGTAAGTGTTGTTGCTCTCAGGTGGCAGTCACTGGAAACTTCCAACTGGAGGTGCAGGTTGTACGTGTCCGTAACTCTGATAATGACTGTGGAAGGTGGCCTGAGGTGTGTCACCTGTACATCGATGAGATGTGTCTGGACCCCCAGATCGAGGAGACAGGCTCCGAGGAGGAGGATCAAGAATGCTCTTTGATAGAGTATGAAAATGATCTGGATCTAGAAAGTGGGCTTCCTAAGACTAGAACACTATCTGTGACAAACCAGCCTTGGCCTGTAAGTTGTCAGCAGCTGCTTTTAACTGTATTGCACTAAGTTTTTAATTCCAGGTTGACTTTCGCCTGCATGTAGAAGTTGTAGACTATGATTTTTACAACGATGATGACCACATTGAGGACGTGGTGGTTCTGGAGTCCCTTGACACCAGTTCAGAGTTCAGTGAACAGATGGACTACAGAAACACTCCTGGTGGGAGGATCACTCTGCGTATGAAGTTCAGAGTCCGGTGTAGTGGAGGGTACGAGGGTCCCCACTGTGACTGCCTCCCTCACAATGATGACGTCAGTGGTCACTACAGCTGTCGGGAAGACGGAGGGATCTCCTGTCTCCCTGGATACACCAACACCTCCAACCTCTGCAGACAACAAGGCAAGTGTGAAAAATGTGGCCTGTTTTTCCCCGGCTATCAGTTCATGCTGAAAGATAAGCACAGTGCATGGTACCTTACAACTTGAAGTTATCCCAACAGTATTGGTACACAGGAAACTGAGTCCTGTTTGCTTAAATTATTGTGATGTGACTGAGATGCTGCCTAAACAGTCCGTTTCACTGAAACCTTTTGTCATGCACAGACTACTGCGTAGGTGTGGTGTGTCTCTCCAATGAAACATGTGTCAGCAACCCCACCTCTTACACCTGTGAGCCACCACCAACTTCCCCCACCACCATCACCATCTCCAGAGATAACTGCAACTGTGCAACTGGCATGAAATGCATTGTAAGTTGACATTAAGACACTTTCCTCTTGAGACTCACTGACACAATCTCTGGGGAATGTTTTCGGAAAGGGAAGTGGGGAGGAAATGTGTAGTGGGAGTGCTTAATCCATTCGTGTAATGTAGCAGTGCATGGACATTTTGGGTTTGGGTTTTTAAAATCACAGGGGTAAATTGTTACCACAGGAGGAAGATGGTGGCTACAGGTGTGTTTGTCCGGAAGGAGAGAACTGCTCAACCCCGGGACCCTCTGCTCCTCGTCAACAGAGTGGAGAGACTTCGTCCAGCATGCCTCCTGCTGTCATTGGTGCAATAGTAGCTGGTCTCCTGGTGGCACTACTGCTTTGTGCAGTGGTGGTGATAGCTGTCGTTGTCTGTATACTAATGAGAAAGAGAAGGTGGTCGAAATGTAAGTGCAGGTACCAATGTTATACATATTACTTTCCAACTGAACACTAAGAGTTTTAATTAACAGTGACTGCAGTGATTAGTTTAAGCATACCCTCAATTTTACTGGAGTAAGCAAGCCAGTGACTTTCCTCGTTTCTCTTGACACTACTAGTGGCCCCCAAGACCAATGGCAGAGGAAGGCGTGGCCCCACTACAATCCATCCCTCGCTGGCTGGCAGCCAACGTGGTGTGGTGAGCAACCCCACGTACGAAGATCCCGGGGGGTTGGTGAGAGCGGAAGTGGAGGAGAATGGATCACACGATGAAGACACTCTCCGGGACCTGCCGAATCCCTTCTACGACTACGGCCGCATTAATAACTCAAACATTGAAAACCCTCTGTATAGAGATCACGCGAACCAACCTCAACAGGGAGACAATATCTACAGTGTTCCCCGTGACTCCGCAACTAGTACCTCTACTTCCAGCCAGGAGGGAGGAGAAGGAGATGGTGGAGGGGGGTACAGTGTCCCTAGGTCGCCTGCTGTGGAGGCAGTGTACTCGTATGCCACAGTGGGTGCTGCTGGTGAAGGTGGTGGTAGTGACACTCGTACTGATGCCGTGTCCATTGATGGAAACAGATATGAGACACCGACAGGTGGGAACAGTCTGACAAAGGCTTCACTATGGATTTTCACACAACCTTGCCTGCCCACTCATTAGTTTTCATGCTGCTGCTGCGTATGTAGGCATATAGTACAATATAGCTACCTTGGGAGCCACGTGGTTTGCATAGTTCGAAGCCCGCCCCAAATATGGTCAAATACCAGTAGTTACACACACCAATTCTGTTAGTATCAGATCAAAATGTGGCACTGACTTAGTTCTCTCACCATAGAATTATTGTAGGTTGCAGCAAAGAACCACCACTGCATGTGACCCTGTCTATGTTTCTGTGCAGCTCCATCACAGAATGTGGAGGCTCCGTACAACACTCTGGACCACGGACTCCAGCAACAGAGACCAACCGAGCTCTCTGAGGCCTACGACACTCTCAACCACGACCAACACTAGAACTTCAGGACTATTTCCACCATAATTCATATGTGCACACATACCAGGGAACACTCTCCATCCTTCATCCCCACTAGCTATGTTTGTGAACTCAATTCTTATGTCTGTGCATCAATTTTGAACAATCATGCTCAACCTTGTCTACTTCATCCACGGGGGTTCATTGTCATTCCCAGCCTGTTATATAATATTCGTGGCGAAACCTGGGAACAAGTCTATTACAAACTACAGATAAACCCCGACTGTCTTTTCTGGTAGGCACTTAGCTACAGATTGTACCAGGCCATTCTTCCTCACCAAAAAATTGCCTGAATCTGAACAAGTCTGCATCAGATGGTAGTTTGTATGCCCAACCCAAATGCTTATAATATACTGCATGTATTCAGAGACAACTTCAGTCTATGTAACTAGAGTCCACTGTGACCAGAAGCAGTTCCGACCAGCCAACACACAATGATAATCCTCAGTTAGTGGCTCGATGATGTAATGAGGTCTGCACGCACGCTCTAATTTCGGAAGTCTGCAGTGCGCATGCGCAACGATCGCGCCAAGACGATACTATACTAGACGACGATCAGCGAACATGAGAGCTTCTATAGCTGCCGTTTTTGTCACTGCAATACTTCAATCTGTAAGTGTGCATGAATACAATTGCTATCTGTAGCGATGATCAGTTTTGAGTGGGAAACATCCTTGTTTTTTCCAGGTACCTGCGTCTGGAAACTTCCAACTGGAGGTGCAGGTTGTACGTGTCCGTGACTCTGTTGATGACTGTGGAGGGGGGATTGATGTGTGTCGCCTGTACATCGATGAGATGTGTCTGGACCCCCAGTTTGAGGAGCCAGGCTCCGAGGAGGAGGATCAAGATTGCTCTTTGATAGAGAATGGAAATGATCTGGATCTAGAAAGTGGGCTTCCTAAGACTAGAACACTATCTGTGACAAACCAGCCTTGGCCTGTAAGTTGTCAGCAGCTGCTTAACTGCATAACACTAAGCTTTTAATTCCAGGTCGATTTTCGCCTGCGTATTGAAGTCATGGACATTGATACTTTCAACAATGACGAGCACATTGAGGATGTAGTGGTTCTGGAGTCCCTCAACACCAGTTCAGAGTTCAGTGAAGAAATGGACTACAGAAACACTCCTGATGGGAGGATCACTCTGAGCATGAGGTTCAGAGTCCGGTGTAGTGGAGGGTACGAGGGTCCCCACTGTGACTGCCTCCCTCACAATGATGACGTCAGTGGTCACTACAGCTGTCGGGAAGACGGAGGGATCTCTTGTCTCCCTGGATACACCAACACCTCCAACCTCTGCAGACAACAAGGCAAGTGGGAAAAAATGTGGGTTGTTTTTTCCCGGCTATCAGTTCATGCTGAAAGATAAGCACAGTGCATGTTGTTGTACCTGACCTCACAACTTGAAGTTATCCCAACAGTATTGGTACACAGGAAACTGAGTCCTGTTTGCTTAAATTATTGTGATGTTGACTGAGATGCTGCCTAAACAGTCCGTTTCACTGAAACCTTTGTCATGCACAGACTACTGCGTAGGTGAGGTGTGTCCCTCCGATGAAACATGTGTCAGCAACCCCACCTCTTACACCTGTGAGCCACCACCAACTTCCCCCACCACTGCCACCACTTTCTCCCCTACCACTTCCCCCACCACCACCAGAGATAACTGCAACTGTGCAACTGGCATGAAATGCATTGTAAGTTCACATTAAACACTCTACTCACTGAGAATTTGTTTGTGGAATCTAGCCCTTTGAAAGGAAAGGGAAGTGGGGAGGAAATGTGTAATAGGTGTTTTAATACGTCATTCAAAGAATCCATGCGTGCAGGTGCATGAGTGTAAAATGAAAGTCACAGGGGGAAATTGTTACCACAGGAGGAAGATGGTGGCAACAAGTGTGTGTGCCCGGAAGGAGAGAACTTGCTCAACCCTGGGACCCTCTAACAGCTGCTCCTCATCAACAGAGTGGAGAGACTTCGTCCAGCATGCCTCCTGCTGTCATTGTTGCAATAGTAGCTGGTCTCCTGGTGGCACTACTGCTCTGTGCAGTGGTGGTGATAGCTGTCGTTGTCTGTATACTAATGAGAAAGAGAAGGTGGGTCGAATGTAATGCAGGTACCAATGTTATCAATATACTTTCCACTGAACACTAAGATTTTAATACACAGTGACTGCAGTGATTAGTTAAGCCTAGCTATATATACCCTAAATTTAAGCAGCCATAACTTCTAATTTCTCTTGACACTACTATGCCCCCAAGACCAATGGCAGAGGAAGGCATGGCCCCACTAAAATCCATCCCTCGCTGGCTGGCAGCCAAAGTGGTGTGTGTGAGCACCCCCACGACGAAGATCCCGGGGGGTTGATGAGCGCCGATAGTGGAGGAGATGATGATCACACACGATGAGACCTCTCCGGACTGCCGATCCCTTCTACGACTATACGCCTCATTCATAACGCAAACATTGAAACCCTCTGTATAGAGATCACGCGCACCACCTCCACAGGAGACAAATATCTACGGTGTTTCCCCGTGACGCCGCACTAGACCTCTACTCCAGCCGGACGGAGAGAAGGAGATGTGATGTACAGTGCGGAGTCGTCCTGCTGTGGAGCAGTGTACCGTATGCCACAGTGGGTGCTCTGCTGGTGAAGGTGGTGGTAGTGACACTCGTACTGATGCCGTGTCCCATTGATGGAACAGATATGAACACCGACAGTGGGAGCAGTCTGACAGAGGCTTCACTATGGGTTTTCACACAACATTGCCCTCGCCCAACTCATTAGTTTTCATCTGCTGCTCTGCGTATGGGCTAGCATATATACAATAGAGCTACCTTTGGGAGCCACGTGGTTTGCAATAGTTCGAAGCCCGCCCCAAATATGTCGTCAAATACCAGTAGTTACACCAATTCTGTAGTATCAGATCAAATGTGGCACTGACTTAGTTCTCCTCACCATAGAATTATTGTAGGTTGCAGCAAAGAACCACCACTGCATGTGACCCCTGTTCTATGTTTCTGTGCAGCTCCACACAATGTGGAGGCTCCGTACAACACTCTGGACCACGGACTCCACAACAGAGACCACACCGAGCTCTCTGAGCCTACGACACTCTCAACACCACGACACCTAGACTTCAGGACTATTTCCACCATAATCATATGTGCACACATACCAGGGAACACTCTCCATCCTTCATCCCCACTAGCTATGTTTGTGAACTCAATTCTTATGTCTGTGCATCAATTTTGAACAATCATGCTCAACCTTGTCTACTTCATCCACGGGGGTTCATTGTCATTCCCAGCCTGTTATATAATATTCGTGGCGAAACCTGGGAACAAGTCTATTACAAACTACAGATAAACCCCGACTGTCTTTTCTGATAGGCACTTAGCTACAGATTGTACCAGGCCATTCTTCCTCACCAAAAAATTGCCTGAATCTGAATGAGTCTGCATCAGATCGTAGTTTGTATGTATTCAGAGACAACTTCAGTCTATGTAGCTAGAGTCCACTGTGACCAGAAGCAGTTCCGACCAGCCAACACACAATGATAATCCTAATTCACCCAAAACCCAGTTAATGCTACTTTAGTGGCTCGATGATGTAATAGGTCTCTGCATGCATATGCGCAGAGCTAGCTCGCTCTAATTTCGGAAGTCTACAGTGCGCATGCGCAACGATCGCGCCAAGACGAGGCTATTAGACGACGATCAGCGAACATGAGAGCTTCTATAGCTGCCGTTCTTGTCACTGCAATGCTTCAATCTGTAAGTGTGCATGAATACAATAGCTAACTGTAGCGATGATCAGTTTTGAGTGGGAAACATCCTTGTTTTTTCCAGGTACCTGCGTCTGGAAACTTTCAACTGGAGGTGCAGGTTGTACGTGTCCGTGACTCTGTTAATAACTGTGTATGGGGGTTTGATAAGTGTCGCCTGTACATCGATGAGATGTGTCTGGACCCCCAGATCGAGGAGCCAGGCTCCGAGGAGGATCAAGATTGCTCTTTGATAGAGTATGGAAATAATCTGGATCTAGAAAGTGGGCTTCCTAAGACTAGAACACTATCTGTGACAAACCAGCCTTGGCCTGTAAGTTGTCAGCAGCTGTTTAACTGCATAACACTAAGCTTTTAATTCCAGGTTGACTTTCGGCTGCATGTAGAAGTTGTAGACTATGATTCTCTTAGCAGTGATGATCACATTGAGGACGTGGTGGTTCTGGAGTCCCTTGACACCAGTTCAGAGTTCAGTGAACAGATGGACTACAGAAACACTCCTGGTGGGAGGATCACTCTGAGCATGAGGTTCAGAGTCCAGTGCAATGAAGGGTACGAGGGTCCCCACTGTGACTGTGTCCCTCACAACGATGACGTCAGTGGTCACTACAGCTGTCGGGAAGACAGAGGGATCTCCTGTCTCCCTGGATACACCAACACCTCCAACCTCTGCCGACAACAAGGCAAGTGTGAAAAAATGTGGGTTGTTTTTTCCCGGCTATCAGTTCATGCTGAAAGATAAGCACAGTGCATGTTGTTGTACCTGACCTCACAACTTGAAGTTATCCCAACAGTATTGGTACACAGGAAACTGAGTCCTGTTTGCTTCAAATATTGTGATGTGACTGAGATGCTGCCTAAACAGTCCGTTTCACTGAAACCTTTTGTCATGCACAGACTACTGTGTAGGTGTGGTGTGTCCCTCCAATGAAACATGTGTCAGCAACCCCACCTCTTACACCTGTGAGCCACCACCAACTTCCCCTGCTACTCGCACCTTTTTCTCCCCTACCACTTCCCCCACCGCCAGAGATAACTGCAACTGTGCAACTGGCATGAAATGCATTGTAAGTTCACATTAAACACTCTACTCACTGAGAATTTGTTTGTGGAATATATAAGCCCTTTGAAAGGAAAGGGAAGTGGGGAGGAAATGTGTAATAGGTATTTTAATACGCCATTCAAAGAATCCAAAGAATCCATGCGTGCAGGTGCATGAGTGTAAATGAAAGTCACAGGGGGAAATTGTTACCACAGGAGGAAGATGGTGGCTACAGGTGTGTGTGTCCGGAAGGAGAGAACTGCTCAACTCCGGGACCCTCTACAGCTGCTCCTCATCAACAGAGTGGAGAGACTTCGTCCAGCATGCCTCCTGCTGTCATTGGTGCAATAGTAGCCAGTCTCCTGGTGGCACTACTGCTCTGTGCAGTGGTGGTAATAGTCGTCATTGTGTGTATCATACTGAGGAAAAAGAGGTTGACTCAATGTAAGTGTCATCTAGAAGTACAACTTTAGTAAAGGCAGTAACAATCACAGTAACTGTCTTTCTCATGATTCTTGACTCCACAGACAGCAACAAGGCCCCCAAAAGAGGAGGAACTTCCATAAGACATCTTATGTCTACCAGCAGTAGTGCACAAGCAGCCACTGGGCCACACAGAGAAGATGATATTCACCTATCACCAAATCCTGTCTACTCCATCCACAGTACGAATCTTTTACATAGAGAGCATCGACCCCCAACTTCAGGCCTGAGAAACACTGCATTACACAGTGAAGATGCCATCCAGCTATCACCAAACCCAGTGTATGCTATTCACAGCACTGCCTCAGGAGCCGAGTGTTCTCTGCAGCATTCACCATCACAAGAGAGTAGTAAAGTCTGCCCGTCCGCCGCCGTGGAAAACACCTGTGACAACCAGGGATATTGGAAGAAACGGAGAAGAAGGTGACCAAGCAGCGAAGGAAGGAGTGATAGGAAACAGAGGGGAGAAGAGGCTGAGTTCATACACTAAAGCCACCACACATTCATACTTGGGGCCGCCATTACACGAGGTAAAAGGAATTGTTGAACCTAATGTTGCAAACATTTCGCGTGCATTAAATGGCAACTGTCTTATGTCTTATAGTTTTTCTCACAAAAAAAAAGTCCTTTGGTCTTACAAATTCTGTAACTCATGTGAACCTAAGGCATACAACAGTAGAGTCACTTTCCCTCCACACATCTTCTTACCTGGCCCTTCTTGCTGGGAATGGTGGTGTTCCTGGAGATGAGTCTCGTGAACACGCCCCCCAGAGTCTCGATCCCCAGCGACAGTGGAGTCACGTCCAGCAACACGACGTCCGTCACGTCCCCCGCCAACACTCCCCCCTGGACCGCCGCCCCTACCGCCACGGCCTCGTCGGGATTGACGGACCGACTCGGCGCCCGGCCGAAGATTCTCTTCACCGTATCTTGAACCTGTCAACCAACAGCGAGAAAATATTACTGACAGGTCAAGGTCAATGGAGGAAGAGGTATCACTATTCTGATTTCCTGAGCCTTTCTTGGGCTTCCTACGATCAGAGCGCTACAACGCAATGGCACTCGGGCATCTAGGGATCTCATGGTCTCCTTGTCTAACTATTGTTTAGACGTGTAAGAGTAATAGCAATAAAAACTGAGGAGGGCAACACTCCCAAACGTATAATTTCTAGAACTGCGATTGTCTACTACAGTGGGCTGTTCACCCGTGGCATTCGTGTCATTCCTCCAACGAGTATGACGTCGCTGATTTCTCCCTTGCTGATGTCGGCGTCTTTAATGGCCTTCTGACACGGCCCCTCCGTTCGCTCTATGAGGTGCGCCGTTAGTGCCTCGAACTTTGCCCTCGTCAGCTGGAGGTTCATGTGCTTCGGTCCACTGGTGTCCATGGTGAGGAAGGGAAGGTTAATGTCCGTCTGCCAGAGGGTGAGAGGGAGGGAGAAAGAGAGGCAGTTAGTGTGGGGGGAAGTTTGAGGTGTTTCTTTTAGTGCTGTTATGTGACTGCATTTCCTTTGAAGGATGTGACTGCATTTCCTTAAGGACTTTCCAACTAACTGTTTCTTACTGGCACGTCATGAAACTGCTTTTGCAAGCCTCCTTATTTGGTATAGAGAAACATGCTCTTGATTGTGCACACATGTGTGTACGTATACATGTGTGCATGTGTTGCTGAATGTGGACAAGTCTCAATAGGCTACAGAGTTACTGGACACCTGCATGGAGGAGGAGAGCTCGACTTTGGCCTTCTCTGCCGCCTCTCTGACTCTCTGCAGGGCCATGTTGTCAGTGGAGATGTCCAGTCCTTGCTGTGGTGTGGGTGGTTCATCAGAGAGAGAGGGAGGAGGGAGAAGAAGAAGAAACAAAGGTTGGGAGTAGAGAGATGGAAAAAAATTGGACAAGGGGGGAAAGGCAACGGTGTAGAAGCGAGATAAGGAGAAAGCCAAAATGTTGGAGCACGATGGGAAGAAATGGGAGAAAGGAGGGGGGAGACAATGTAGAGAAAGTGAGAATGTGAGCAAGAGAGAGAAGAGGGGTAAATGGAACAGTAGGAAAGAGAAGGAGGAATGGATGAAGAAAGAGAGAGGAGGCGAGAGTGAAAAAAGGAACAAGAGAAAAGAGGAGAGGAGAGCAAGGAAGGGAGTGAACACAAGCGCCAGCAGCGAGCAAAGTAAGAAAGGGCAGCAGAAGTGAAGGGCTCACGTCTCTCTTGAACTCGGCGACGAGGTGCTGTACGAGGGCATTGTCGAAGTCCTCTCCACCGAGGAAGGTGTCGCCGTTGGTTGACTTTACTTCAAACACTCCCTTCTGTATCTCCAGCACCGAGATATCAAACGTCCCTCCACCCAGGTCATACACCGCTATGCTGGACAGAGGAGGTGGAAAGGGGTTAAAGGAGCTGCTACACTGATAGGGAGGTTGAAAGGGGTTAAAGGTGCTACTATACACACACTCTGGAAACAATCTAGCAGCTACTTCTGCAACAGGCTTCATGTCAAGTGTCCCTTACTGTGAAGGTGTACATCCTTAACCTCAGATACACACTACAAAGAGACGCTGCGCTCAGATCTAAGGGTTTGTTTGTAGTATCCCAACTTTTGGGAAACGGTTTTCGCTGTACCACTATAGTACACTGATCAGCGTGGGGAAATTTTCACCAAAGATCAAAGCAGCTGCCAGAAAGGAAATTCGACTAACATTTTGTCGTCGGCTTTATCCAGTCCGTAGGCGAGAGCTGCAGCTGTCGGTTCGTTGACAACCCGCAGCACATTCAGTCCAGCAATCTGCCCTGCATCCTTTGTGGCCTACAGCAGTAAGATCGGTATATAGGGTAGGTTAGAAACTTTTCATCAGTCCTAACTTTGCTCCTCACTACTCTTACTGAATAAGTGTGTCATGACATCACGCATGCTACAGTGTTTTGAGGATGGTGATATGTTCAAAATGCCAGGGATTAAGGAAGGGGGCACTCGTCCCCTTGGATACATTTCTAGATAAAGTCCTGATTGCTAAAACCACACCTGTCTCTGAGAGTCGTTGAAGTATGCGGGCACTGTGATGACGGCATTCTTCACCGGCTGGCCCAGGTAGGCCTCTGCAGGTAGCACACACCAGCAGTTACCGCTGAGGTGTATGAGGAGAGGGTGGTCTTACCTGCCGTCTCTTTCATCTTCATGAGGACAAACGCTCCGATCTGACTTGGTGAGTACATCTTTCCGTCGTGGGCCGTCTTGACCCACGCGTCGCCATTGGAGGCTCGGACTATCTCATACGGCACCGTTTTCCTGAAGATTTAGAGAGGTAGGGAGAGAGAGAGGGGGGAGGGAGGTGGGTGTTACTGCTGGTGGTTTTTTGGAAACTCACGCTTCTTTCTTGACTTCCTCGTCGTCAAACCGTCGCCCTATGAGCCTCTTGGTAGCATACACTGTGTTCTTTGGATTAGTTACAGTCTATGGGAGTAGCGAGGTCAAAAGGCACAGAGAGAAGATGAGAAGGGAGTGAGAGAGAGACAGACTGTATTGTAGAGTGTATTGTAGGGTTGCTACTATTACTGGTTGTTTTCAGTTTACAGTATTCTTCTCAAACATATCATTTTACTATCCCCACGAGGGGCAAACAGAGAGAAAGGGAAGGGAAGAGGGGGAGGGGAGGGGGGACATGTGATGTTGAAAGGACAAAGAATCGCTCGAGCCTGGAGTAAAAACTGTGACTTAGTCTAACTTGTCTCTTGGCGAGAATGCCACAGAGCCGCTCGCCGTCCTTTGTGAAGGCCACAACCGACGGAGTGGTTCGAGATCCCTCTGAGTTCTCGATGACCCTCGGGTTCTTCCCGTCCATGACCGCCACACAGGAGTTGGTGGTGCCGAGGTCGATCCCCACCACCGCCCCCTTCACGTCTGAACTGTTCCCATTACATTGAAGTATGGTGAGCATATAGCATCCAAAATTTATAGAACACAAAAATATGGATGGAAAAAATATTCCTTGGATCTATTAAATTTTATCACAAAGCAAAGCCAAACGGCTTTGAGCTTTGCGGTATGCAGGAGTTCATTTCTGCTTGAATGTGTGTCAGTGGTGATGATGCAATGGGTAGGTATTCTATAACATGACTGAATGACATTGTCACCACCCACTCCAACTATTACCTATACCAGATATCTGGATGATGCAACTTCACCCTTTGAAAGCCAATGCGGTAATAAATGAATAGCTCAGAGAATCCGGTTACAGTCTTACCTGTAGCACCGACTCCATCTTGGAGGACCATCCACTGACAACGGTTCCCATAGCTGTAGAGAAGAGGACGTTAGAGACAGCGAGAGACCAAATTGCTCGTGGAGTTTTAACAGGTGACCATACGGAAACGGCGCATGCATCCCACAATCAACAAACGCGCGCGGCCTGTGGGCGGCCGTCGAGAGCACGTGGTTACCTTGGTTTGCCTTAGGCGAACACAGACCTTGGATAGGTTGGTGGATAGGGCCCTTCTCCCAGTCCCAAGCATACGCCAGGGACCTCTTCTGACTGCACAGCGCACAGACAGCATCTCGCTCGCCCAAGCAAAAATCGAGGCAAAAATACCACGTGGATCGCTTCGAGCTGTTGGATCTTCCGAAGCCACGCCTCCTCCGTGGGGCATGCGCACGCATAAAAAGTCGCCAGCGAGCAAAATCGCTGCAGAGCAGTTCCAGCGTTCCAGTTCAGTGCTGCTTATGTGACACAGTGACCATTTCTTACTGCTACTGCCTTGGCTGTGAGTTGAGTGTATTATTGAGTGTTCCATATATCCGCCAAGCATTCTATATACCAGCCTAAGGTCTCGCGCGCGTCTCGCGCCTAGTAAAAGCCTTAGCTATAAACCCTGGCTCATCATAGCGAGGCCACAGTTTGTGATGAATTTACCATAGATAGCAGTCTACTCTACTAGCTATGGGTAGAGCACTGTAAGCTCTAATTTACGAGCAGTAACGTTGGGGTGTCTGCAACGCTCCAGCAAATGCTGGACTAAAACGTGCCCACAGAAGCCAGCGCAAAGTGTAATCACTGTCATTCCTCAAAAATCCAGTGATTGCCTCATGACATTTTTCACTCAACCACTGCCTCATACTTACACAGTCAGTAGTAGTATCTATAATAATTATACCGGTGTATATAGTACCAGCATAATTGGCGTTCACAGCACTTTATATGGAAGTTTGTGCCTATACCCTCACCTCCACAGAAAACATGGGAACTCTCTGGCATAATGTGGTTGCAGTTCTGGTAGCTGCACTGCTTCAGAGTGTAAGCCAATAGCTAACTAATACTAATAATATTGTGTGTAAGTACATGTATGTTTTATATTCCCCATTCCCAAAAGCTACTCTGAGTGATTCACTAAGCTTTTTGTGAGATTGCAATTTGCATTACTGCAAAACTCATGATGCACATTTGACTTTGTGTCCACTGACAATCCAGTAAGGGTTTCATTGTAAGTGTTGTTGCTCTCAGGTGGCAGTCACTGGAAACTTCAACTGGAGGTGCAGGTTGTACGTGTCCGTAACTCTGATAATGACTGTGGAGGGTGGCCTGAGGTGTGTCACCTGTACATCGATGAGATGTGTCTGGACCCCCAGATCGAGGAGACAGGCTCCGAGGAGGAGGATCAAGATTGCTCTTTGATAGAGTATGAGGATAATCTGGATCTGAAGTATGGGCTTCCTGAGACTAGAACACTATCTGTGACAAACCAGCCTTGGCCTGTAAGTTGTCAGCAGCTGCTTAACTGCATAACACTAAGTTTTTAATTCCAGGTTGACTTTCAGCTGTATATAGAAGTCGTTGACTTTGATATAATCCCCCCTGATGACCACATTGAGGACATGGTTGTTCAGGAGTCCCTCAACACCAGTTTAGAGTTCAGTGAACAGATGGACTACAGAAACACTCCTGATGGGAGGATCACTCTGAGCATGAGGTTCAGAGTCCGGTGTAGTGGCGAGTACGAGGGTCCCCACTGTGACTGTCTCCCTCACAACGATGACGTCAGTGGTCACTACAGCTGTCGGGAAGACGGAGGGATCTCCTGTCTCCCTGGATATACCAACACCTCCAACCTCTGCAGACAAGGCAAGTGTGAAAAATGTGGCCTGTTTTCCCCCGGCTATCAGTTCACGCTGAAAGATAAGCACAGTGCATGGTGTACCTGACCTTACAACTTGAAGTTATCCCAACAGTATTGGTACACAGGAAACTGAGTCCTGTTTGCTTAAATTTATTGTGATGTGACTGAGATGCTGCCTAAACAGTCCGTTTCACTGAAACCTTTTGTCATGCACAGACTACTGCGTAGGTGAGGTGTGTCCCTCCGATGAAACATGTGTCAGCAACCCCACCTCCTACACCTGTGAGCCACCACCAACTTCCCCTGCTACTCCCACCACTTTCTCCCCTACCACTTCCCCTACCACTTCCCCCACCATCACTGTCTCCAGAGATAACTGCAGCTGTGCAACTGGCATGAAATGCATTGTAAGTTGACATTAAACACTCTACTCTGGAGACTCACTGAGAATTTGTTTTTGGAATATAGCCCTTTGAAAGGAAAGGGAAGTGGGGAGGAAATGTGTAATTGGTGTTTTAATAGTCATTCAAGAGTGTAAAATGAAAGTCACAAGGGGAAATTGTTACCACAGGAGGAAGATGGTGGCTACAGGTGTGTGTGTGCCGGAAGGAGAGAACTGCTCAACCCCGGGACCCTCTGCTCCTCGTCAACAGAGTGGAGAGACTTCGTCCAGCATGCCTCCTGCTGTCATTGGTGCAATAGTAGCCGGTCTCCTGGTGGCACTACTGCTCTGTGCAGTGGTGGTGATAGCTGTCGTTGTCTGTATACTAATGAGAAAGAGAAGGTGGTCGAAATGTAAGTGCAGGTACCAATGTTATACGTACATAATTATTACTTTCCAACTGAACACTAAGAGTTTTAATTAACAGTGACTGCAGTGATTAGTTTAAGCATACCCTCAATTTTACTGGAGTAAGCAAGCCAGTGTGATTTTCCTAATTTCTCTTGACACTATAGTGGCCCCCCAAGACCATGGCAGAGGAAGACGTTGGCCCCACTACAATCCATCCATCGCTGCTGGCAGCCAACGTGGTGTGGTGAGTCAACCCCACGTACGAGATCCCGGGGGGTTGATGAGGCGGAGAGTGAGGAGAAGGATCACACGATGAAGACACTCTCTCTCGGACCTGCCGAATCCCTTCTACGACTACGGCGCATTCATAACTCAACATGAAACCTCGTATAGAGATCACGCGAACCAACCTCAACAGGGAGACAATATCTACATGTTCCCCGTGACTCCGCAACTATCCTCTACTTCCAGCCAGAGGGAGGAGAAGGAGATGTGTGGAGGGGGGTAACAGTGTCCCCTAGTGTCGCCTGCTGTGGAGGCAGTGTACTCGTAGCCACAGTGGTGGTGCTGCTGGTGCAGGTGGTGGTCAGTGACACTCGCTACTGAGGCCTTAGTGTCCTTGATGGAAACAGATATGAAACACCGACAGGTGGGACAGTCTGACATAAGGCTTCACTATGGGTTCTTTCACACACACTCTTGCCTGCCCACTCTCATGTTTGCATGCTGCTGCTGCTGCGCATGTCGCATCTAGTTCCAATCTAGCTACCTTGGGCGCCACGTGGTTCACGAGTCCGCCCAAATATGGTCAATCCAGTAGTGTCAATTACACACCAATTCTGTTAAATGTGGCACTGACTTCGTTCTCTCACAATAATTATTGTAGGTTGCAGCAAGAACCACACGGCATGTGACCCTGTCCATGTTTCTGTGTCAGCTCCATCACAGAATGTGAGGCTCCGTACAACACTCTGGACCACGGACAGTCCAGCAACAGAGACCAGCCGAGCTCCTCTGAGGCCACGTCCTCTCAACTCACGTACGACACTAGAACTTCCAGGACCATTTCCACCATACTGACTCTAGTCTCATATGTGCACACATGCCAGGGGAACACGCGCCATCTCCTCCCCGCTCGCTATGTTTGTGAACCATTCTATGTCTGTGCATCATTTTGAACAATCATGTCTCACCTTGTCGACTTCATCCACGGGTTCTTGTCATTCCCAGCCTGGTATAGTAATATTCGTGGCGAAACCACCTGGAACAAGTCTATTACACAAACTCCAGATAAACCCGAAACCCCGCCTGTCTTTTTCTGATAGGCCCCTTGCTACAGATTGTACCAGGCCATTCCTCCTCACCAAACAATTGCCTGAATCTGAACAGTCTGCGTCAGATGGTAGCCCTGTATGACCAACTACCAATTCTCTATCTTATACTGCCTGTTATATGAGGGTTCAGTGAGGCAGCTCAGTCTATGTCGCTTGGGATCCACTAGTGACCAGAAGCAGTTGGGCCGACCAGCCAACACACAATGATACTCCTAATTGCACCCCAAACCCTACTTAGTGGCTCGATGATGTAATGGGGTATCTTGCCAAGTGTACGTGTGTGCAGAGCTCTCGCGCGCGCGCTCTAGACGTCTCTAGATGCGGACAGTCTGCATTGCGCATGCGCAATGTCGCGCCGATACGGACTAACACGATCAGCGAACATAAGCTTCTATCACTGCCGGTCTTGTCAATCTGCACTGCTTATCTGTAGTGCATGAATACAAAGCTACTGTATCGATGATCATTTTGAGTGTGAAACAACCTTTTTTTTTCCAGTAACCTGCTTCTGAAACTTTCAACTGAGGTGCAGGTTTTAGTGTCCGTGCTCTGTTAATTGCGTGGAAGGTGGCCTGAGGTGTGTCACCTGTACATCGTAAGAGTGTGTCTGGATCCCCATTTTGAAAGAGCCATGCTCCGGGAGAAGGATCAAGAGTGCTCGTTGTAGAGTCTTATGATAATCTGTGATGCTGAGTTTTTCCTGAGACTAGAACACTATCTGTGACAAACCACCCTTGCCGTAGTTGGCAGCACTGCTTTTAACTGCGTGTATTGCAACTAAGTTTTTTAATAGCCAGGTTGACTTTCAGCTGTATTTAGAATCTTTGACTTTGTGATATAATCCCCCCCGTGAACATCACATTGAGGACGTGGTTGTTTGTTCATGAGGCCCTCAACACCAGTTCAGAGTTCAGTGAAAGATGGACTACAGAAACAACTCCTGGTGGGAGGATCACTCTAGCATGAGGTTCAGAGTCCATTTCATGAGGGTACGAGGTCCCCACTGTGACTGTATCCCTCACAACGATGACGTCAGTGGTTCACACTACAGCTGTTGGGAAGACGGAGGGATCGATCCTGTCCTCCCTGGATATACCAATACCGTCCAACCTCTGCAGACAAAAGGCAGTGTGAAAATGTGGCCTGTGTTTTCCCCGGCTATCATTCATGCTGAAAGACTAAGCACAGTGCATGATGTACCTGACCTCACAACTTGAAGTTATCCAACAGTATTGGTACAACACAGGACACTGATCTGTTTGCTTAAATTTAGTGTGATGTGACTGAGATGCGCTTAAACAGTCCGTTTCACTGAAACCTTTTATCATGCACAAAGACTCTGCGTAAAGGGAGGTGTGTCTCTCCGATGATACCTGTGTCAGCAACCCCACCTCTTGTCACTTGAAGCTGCCACCGAACTTCCCCCCCATCACTGTCTCCGGAATAACTGCAACGTTCAAATGGCACGAAATCATTGTGAGTTCACATTAACACTTGATATTAAACACTCCCTGACTCTAGACACTCACTTGCAGAAATTTTTTTTGGAATCTAGCCTCTTTGAAAGGACATAGGGAAGTGGGGAGTAACTGGATAAGGTGTTTTCAAGAGTGTTAAAATGAAGTCACAGGGGGAAATTGTTTTACCATACAGGAGGAAGATGTTGGCTACCGGTGTTGTGTGTCCCGGAAGGAGGAACTGCTCAACAAACCCCAGACGCCTCTACAAGCTGGCTCCTCGTCACAGAGTGGAGAGCCTTCGTCCATCAATTCCTCCTGCTGTCCATTGGTGTCAATAGTAGACGCCTGGTGAGTTACACTTCCGTCGTGGGCTGTCTTGACGCCCGCGTCGCCATTGGGGCTCGGACAATCTCATACGCACGTTTTCCTGAAGATTTAAAGGTAGGGACAAGAGATGGAGAGGAGGGAGTTGGGTGCTACTACCTGCTGGTGTCTGTTTTTTTTTTGGGAACTCACTCACGCTTCTTTCTTGACTTCCGCTCTTTCGTCAACCTTCGCCCTAGTGAGCCTCTTTGGTACATACCCTGTGTCTTTGGATTAGTACAGTCTATGGGAGTAGCGATGGTCAAAGGCACAGATGCGGATATTAGGGAGTGAGAGATAGACAGAGTGTATTGTAATTGTGCTACTATTACTGTTGTTTCAGTTTACATTTTCTTCCGTCAACACATAACTTTTTACTATCCGCACGAGGGGCATCGGAGAGAAGATGAAGGGCAGACGGATAGAAATGGAGGGTGGTAGAGGGGGGACATGTGATGGTTGAAAGGATCCAAAGAATCCTCGGCCTTGAGAACACTGTGACTTGGTCTCACTTGTCCTTTGGCGAGATGCCCCTAGCCGCTCGCCGTCCTTGTGCAGGCCACAACCGACGGCTGTTTCGAGATCCCTCTGAGTCTTCGATGACCTCTCGGGGTTCTTCCCGTCCATGACCGCCCCACAGGAGTGTGGTGCCGAGGCGTATCCCCACCACCGCCCCCTTCACGTCTGACTGGCATCTTACAATTGAGGTATGGAAAGTACAGGTGGGGCATGTAAGCAACCAAAATTTAGAATGAAACAAAATCTATTCAATTTTATCACAAAGCAAAGCCAAACTCTAGCTTGATGATAGCGTTGAATGTGAGTGTACTGCAGTCTCCTACCTTAATGTGTGTATTTGGGTCTATTCAACACCTTATACCAGTCTTATGGTAATACAGTGTTATGACTGATTAATGTTGCAAGGCCTTCAACCCCCCACCCACTCCACTATTCCTATCTGGATGATGCAACTTCAATGGGCAAAAACTCGGTAATATGAATACTCAGAGGAATCCGGTTTACGTCTTACCTGTAGCACCGACTCCATCTTGGAGCACTATCCACTGACAACTGTTCCCACTAC